TGCCGACCGAGGCGAACCGCAGCGCTCGTCCCTCTCGCACTCGTCGGGGTGCTCGGCTCCCCGTATTGTAATGCCGCAGTAATGCCCCACACCGCCGCCGGCAAGTTGGCCGAGACCGACTGGTGCACTGCGTTGCACTGCCACTGCGTTGTGCCCTCGGTCGCGCCACCCTGCGCCACCCCTTGACTCTTGGACTGCCGCCGCGGGGATCACAGTGTCCCATCTCGGCCTAGGAGATACTGCGTCTATTGCGGGATTAACCCGCACAAACGGACTGAACCCTTGGCCAACCGTCCAAGGATTGAGGCCAGCAAACAGTGTGTCCGTCGTGTGGTGTGCAATGTCGTCCAACCAGAGGTGCATCAGTGAAAGGCCTTTCTACAGTGGCTGTGTTCCTGTCCCGCAGGCGGCGCCGACGCGGACGTGTCCGCGGCCACCGACGCCGAGCCGCCCGTGCCGCCGCTGCTGGCGGGGCTCCCCCCGGGCCACCCCGCGCTGGGGCTGGGCGGCCTGGGCGGCCTGGGCTTCACGGCGTACCGGCTGTGGAGCCACAACGGCGGACCCTTCCTGCGGTACCCGGGAGTGCCGCTGCCTCACGCCGACGGCGACCTGGGCGCCCGGCAGACGTCCCTCAGCCCCTCCAAGGACAGAGGTTTGTGCAACACCACCACACAACAACAACAAAATAATCCAAGCTGAAAATGCGCAGTGACATGGTCTCGGCGGTGCTCCTCCTCGTGGTTGCGGGACGCCCCCCGCGATGAGGTGTGACTCAATTAAATATTCCCACGACCCGCATCATGCCCCCTGCCCTGCCCGGCGGGCTGCCCCGCGCCCTCCACGTCCCCCACACCCACCGAGTCAACGAAGCGCGACCGAAGAAGGCGCATAACTCTTCTTCTTGCTTACTACTCTTGTTGTTGTTCTTTCTGCTGCCCTGTTTAGTGCCGTTTTTCCTCCTCCTTCCATTACTTCTCCTCCACGCCTCACTCTTCGAGGCTTACGCCCCGCCCCGGGCGCGGAGGAGGTACCCTGCTGCGCACCTGCAAAACACTTTGATTCATTTACCCACCTCGGCAGCGCCCCGCGCGGGGCCCCGGTGCGCGCCCCTCTTAAAAGCAATCCCCTTCTCCACACCCCTCCCCCCCCAACCCCCTCTGCTGCCAGCGCCTCTAAAATCCTGCCATCCCAGTCCGACCCAAACTCGCGTGCTTCGTGCTTCGAGCCCCCTCCCCCTCCCCAACCCCCGTCTATCACTTATCTCCGCCCTAAGCGAGGCAGCTGGGCGTGTGTGTGTGTGTGTGTGTGTTGTGTATGTGTGTGTGTGTGTGTGTGTGAGTGAAATGGAAAGGGGGGAGGGAGCTGGGCCCCACACCCGTGTATTGGGTAAGGGGGGGGGGGATGTGGGCATCCGAACATGTGTTGGGTTCGGTTTGCACAGTGCTGATACAATGTACACCGTGCTGCTGGGGCCGAAAAAGGTAGAGGGGACCTGAGCGGGGGGGAAAGGAAGGAGGGGGGGACCAAACGGCGACCCACGGATGGCTGGACAGATTGCTCTGTTTGGGTTGAACGCGTCGAGGCGGTAGTAAAACCACAGTCGTACGATAAGATTTTCTCGTCCCGTGGGTGTGTTTGTTTGAGCGTGTGTGTGTGTGCGTTGCACGAGCGCTTAGGTACAGTAGTGTGAAAAACTGCAATTGATTCGGCAGAGAGTGATTTTTTTTTTCGCGCGGATTAGTTTCCTGTTTTAATTGCTGATAAATACGCTGACCGAGACAGCGCGTCGGAGAGTAGTGAGCAGCGCGAGGCGAGCAGAGTAAAACGGGGTAAAGGCGTTTCCTTAATGACGTGGGTGGGGTGACGCGTCGACGCGCCGGCCGGCCAGTTTATCGGCGTGCAAGTGTGTTCCGGGGCCGCGTGCGGGGCGCCTCGCTGCGTCTCTCTCGCACGCGGCCGCGCCGCACAGTGGGCCAGAAGACCGGTGGAGGCGGCCAAAACTCTAGACGCGTTTTGAGCTCCAGAGTCGCTAAATGGGACTCGAACCGAACGTCTGACCCCGCCAATAGATTGCTCTCCGAACGAGGAATCCATTGGTGGGGTCAGACGTTCGGTTCGAGTCCCATTTAGCGACTCTGGAGCTCAAAACGCGTCTATAATTTTGGCCGCTCCACCGGTCTTCTGGCCCACTGTGCGCCGAGCCTTGCACACCTGGGTCGGGGGGTGCTGCGGCCGTGTGGGACCCCCATGCCCCGTCACGGCCGTCACGGCCGACACCGCCCCGGACGCGGCCACCCTCGGGCCGACTCCGAACGCACACGCGATGGGCCCCCGTCGCTCCGTCTCTCTCGCGCGCTCGCGGGGCGTCGGAGCTTGGTCGGAGCGTCCCGCGGGGGTGCGAGAGAGACGCAGCGACGGGGCGCCGCTCGCACGCGGCCGCCAGAGCGGATCGGCGGCGCAGCGGCGATTGTGATTTACAACGGGATTACCGCCGATAGATAGCGCGTCGAGCGGCGCGCCGCGGCATTGCTTTGAGCGCGCCAACCGATACCGGCCCTGTGAGTGTGTGCGTGTGTGTGTGTGTGCTGTGTGTGTGTGACATGTCCTGACATCCGTCCAGACCCTGCCGAAGTGTTGACACAGCCTCAAAGATGTGTGTAATGTGTGTGTTTCTAAAGCCCCTCATGCAGCGCGAGGTGGCGCGTAGAGGGGGAAGGGGGGGACAGTAAATCGGCGTCTGTCTGCACACACACACACACACACACACACACACACACACACTTAAGCGGCGTCATGATTTGCGCGCCGCTTCGGTCCTGGGCCTGGGCCGGCATGGGCCGTCGCCTCTCGGCCGCGCCGTGCGTTGAGGTCGCCGTGTCTTGCAGTGTGCCAGTGTCGGCCAGTGTACCGCCGGGTCCTGATCGCCCTACAGTCGTAAACGGCGCGCTAATCCCGGCCAGCGGGCAATTGCAGCGGTAGCGACGTCGCGGTGCACACGAACCGCGCGGCGTCACGAGGCCGACGTCGCCCCGTCTCCCTCCCACCCACACGGGCCCCCCCGAGAGTGCGAGGGAGACAGAGACACCGGGCAGGTCGTAAAACGGTTGGAGGCCGCGATGAGCGCCGCGTCCGCGGGCCTTGCCTGGGATTTGTTGGCAGTAATCACAGATATCACTTATCGGCGAAGAATATTTTATCGCTTATTGCGTTATTTGGGGAGGGATTTGGGGGGGATTACGCCGGAGCAAGTTTGCGCGACATTGTCGCGGCCGGCCAGCCACCCACGCACGCGTCGACGCGGTGTGCTCCGCCTCGCCGTCGCGGAGGTGAACCAGGCGACGGGACAGCGACAAACTTCCCCGCGGGCACCGCCGCGCCGGGAGAGAGAAAGAAAGAGAGACAGAGATAGCAGAACGCCAAGGTCCCCCTCTTTCTGGTGCGTTTCAATATCGCTCAGGGCGCACTCGAGCCGAGCGCCTGGTGGTCGAGTCTGTCGAGTCTCTCGGCTTGGATTCGGGTTTCGGGATTCGGACTCGGCCGGGGAATCGCAGCAATGACTCGGGCCACTCCGATAGCCGGCGTTATCTAAAGCCCGACGCCAAGCGCGCCAAGCTTGCGGGCCGAGAGTCGCCTCGTCGCGCCGTCTCTCTCGCACTCGTGGGACGCGCCATCGGGGGTGCGAGAGAGACGGCGCGAGACCGTTCGGAACGGCTCGGCTGGCTGGACGACGCCAAGCGCACGCCCCACACTGGTGTAGTGGCCCCATGCATCCTCTGAGTGATAGCGGAGCAATCTGGCGGCCTTCTCCTCGCACCGCCTCAAATATCGAACGGCCCGAACAGGAAAGGCCGCCGAAGCGCAGAGCGCGCAGAAGCAGGGGGCGGTGGCGGAGGAAGAGGAAGGCGGTGCCGCGCCTCCAAAGTTCCACGGCCTTCTTTGAGAAAGTTTAGAGCGGCTGACTGATGCGGCGCCGGCATCAATAATGTAAGGCCGTGGTTTGGCGGTTCGACCCCCCCTCTCGCTCCCTCCTCTCTCTCTCTCTCTCTCGCTGCGGGGTGCGCAATTTCGCATACTTGGACGTTCGGCGAATGAAGTGGCATGGAGGGTGGGTCGGCTTCTTCAAGGTGAATCCGCGCTGCTGCCGCCCCGGGTAGCCTCCCCCTCCCCCTCCCCCCTCAGCCTTGCCGTAATTCAGTCCACGTCCCGGCAGTAACTCTCACAGAGATTTGGCCCGGCAGCGACGCCGGCGCGGCGAAGCGCCCCGAAGACTGTGCACTGCTGGTGCTGCGTTAATTAAAGAGTGTGTCCGCTCATCAGGCAAGGCGGGCAAAGCCGAGGCGGGGCTCCGGGCGGGGCAGAGTCTGCATGCGGGACTGGGAGGGAATTCCCTGCGCACGGGATTCCGATGGTACACTGTTGGCACCCTTTCGGAGTCCAGGGCCGACCTAACCTAGCCCTAAGCTAACATGACCGGACCTAACCTCACGTTGCTTGGCGTGCCGCCGCGTGTCGCAGATGGCATCAAGTTCGGCGTCAGCAGACTCGTCGACCACTCGGACCACGAGGAGGACCTGGAGGCCGAGGACGCGCCCGGCCACAACAACCACAACCGGACGACCCCGGTCAACAACAACAACCCCGCCACCATCAACCACAATGAGAAGCACAGCATGCACATCGAGCGGTCGACGGGCAGCGTGGAGCCCGAGATGCTGTCGCCGCACCGGTCGCCCCTCACGTCACCCGAGCTCGAGGTGGGCGTCGACGCTCTGGCAAAAGAAGGCCGCCTGCGGCGGGATTCGAACCCGAGCCATTGCTGAACTCGTTTTAACTCGCTGTTGCAGGTGGACAGCCCGGCGCACAGCCCAGCCCCGACGCGGCACGGCTCGCCGCTCAGCCCCGGCGCCCCGGACTCCCCCGCGTCGCGGTCGTCGCGGTGCTCGCCGATGGGGTCGCAGTCACCGCTAGGGTCGCCACACGGCTCGGGCTCCGCGTCCGCCATGTCGGGCCTCGGCCCGCTCGGCCCGCTCGCCCCGCTGGGGCCGTTGGCACCCCTAGGCCTGGGCCACGGCCTCGGCCACGGCGTGGGCGGGCTGACCGAGGTGCCCAGCAAGGCGCCCAGCAAGCGGTCCGAGGCCTTCAGCGTGCAGGCCTTGCTCAAGCCGGACCTCTTCCCGCGCACCAGCCTGCCGTCCAGCCTGCCGCCGCCTCACGTGGGCACCATCACCGAGTCCATCTCGGTGACGCGGTCGCTGTTCTACCCCGGCATGCCCTTCTCGGACCTGTTCAAGGGCGGCTCGCCGCAGCACCACCCCGGCACGTCGCCGCCCTACCCAGGCATGCTGCCGCGCCACCCGCCCTTCCTGCCCTCCAACTTCTACCCGCCCGGCGTCCCCGGCGCGCTGCCCGCGTCCGGGGCAAGGACGCGTCGCCGTCGGGGGCGCAGGCGTCGTCGCTGTGGGGCGCGGTGCAGGCCGCCATGTCGCAGGCCGCGACGTCGTCCACGAGCACCTCGCCGTCGAACGCCTTCCCGCCGCGCCACCTGCCGCCCACCACGGAGGACCTGCTGCGGCTGCGCCAGCACCTCCTCATGTCCCCCGGCGTGAGCGGCTCGCTCGGCGGCTCCTGGGCGGCTTCCACGCCGCGGCCGCCGCCGGCCACCTGGTGGCGGGGCAGCTCGCGGGCCACCACCACGACCACCACCAGCACCACCTGCTGCTGCGCGGCGCGGGCATGGTGGGCGACACGTACTCCTGCATCAAGTGCGAGAAGATGTTCCCCACGCCGCACGGGCTCGAGGTGCACGCGCGCCGCTCGCACAACGGCAAGCGGCCGTTCGCCTGCGAGTCCTGCAACAAGACCTTCGGCGCCGAGGTCAGCCTCAGCCAGCACCGGTGAGTACCACGACACTGGCGGAGCATCCGCCCGGCGGGTAGGCAACGCAGCCAATGCAGCGCGCCGCCGTGGGCTGGGTTGCCTACCCTCGGCATCGCAGGGGCCCTGTCTCATCTTCCTGTCCCTTCGCGTGCGGGCAGGGCGGTGCACAGCGTGGAGAAGGTGTTCGAGTGCAAGCAGTGCGGGAAGACCTTCAAGCGGTCCTCCACGCTCTCCACGCACCTCCTCATCCACTCCGACACGCGGCCCTACCCCTGCTCCTACTGCGGCAAGCGCTTCCACCAGAAGTCCGACATGAAGAAGCACACCTACATCCACACCGGTGAGTACTGAGCGCAGCGAGCGCAGCAGGGCCTGGGTACGGGAATGGCGGGTGGGGGGGGGGAGGGGGGCGGGACTGGGGCGGAGGTTAGGACACTCCATTCCTTGCCGCTGCGCGCTGCGCCTTGGAAGCTTGACTCCTGCGAATTAATTTGACCGTCTGGTCTCCCCTCCCCCTCCCCCTCCCCTCCCCCGACGCCAAGGTGGGGGCGGCGGTGGCGGCGGTGGCGGCGAGGGGTTGGCCCGTTGGCCCGGACGCCCGGTGGCGCGACCCAGCGCGCGCGGAGGAGTTTGCAGAGAAAACACTCAAGTTAAATTGGAGCGGTCCGGTCATGCTGCTAGGCCCGGCGCGGTGCCGGTCTGTCTGTCTGTCTGCTTGTCTGTCTGTCCGTCCGTCCGTCCGTCCGCCGCCGCGAGGCAGATTGTCGACGTGTAACCCCGGCGGTGCGGTGCGGTGTGTGCGGGGAGCATAATCTGACGCAAACGCGCGTGTCCCGGTGAAGTAACGGCCAAACTTCGCAGAAACGAGGCGACAAACGGTGCAGGCGACAAGCGCCCCTCTTCTCCCCCCCCCTCCTTCCCTCTCTCTCCGTGGCCGCGCAGCCAAAATAAAAGCCAAAAGGGCGTAACTTGTTTGCCCCCTGTCGGCCAGTAAACAGTGGGCACTGGGCCTGGACAGCCAGTGTTGACTCGGCCTTCGTCCTCGGTGTGTGTGTGTGTGTGTGTGTGTGTGTGTGTGTGTGTGTGTGTGTGTGTGTGTGTGTGTTGTGTGTGTGTGTGTGTGTGAAAGAGAGTGTGTGAGTGAGTGTGGGGTTCCGAACGCTTCCCGGCGGTGGATGGCCGTGTCCACCTCGTCCACCACGAGGAGGCCAGCCTCGCCGCCCCCCACCCTTTTTCTGCATCTCAATGTACTTGTATAAAGTTGCCGGCGGACGCCGCTGGCTGGGTAGGGACGCGCGCACCACCAGCAGGTTAATATTTCATAATCAAAGTTTGCGTCGGCGATCCGAGACGCCCGCAAAAGTGAGAAAAGATTACGACAGGCTGGCGTGGCGGGGCGTGGCGGGGCGGGGCGGGGCGGAGCGGGGCGGGGCGGGGCGGGGCGGGGCGGGGCGATTCGGAAGAGCCTTGATTAAAAAGCCAAAAAATAGACGCGGGCGAGACAAGCTGATGGAAAAACAGGCTGGCTTGCCGCGCCTGCAGCGCGCCTGCAAGAAGTCGAAAGCAAAGATGAGTGAATTACTCTTTGAATTTGCCCGATCGGGGATTTGGCCATTGGCGGCTCGGCGTGAATGAGAGTGGAAGCGTGGCGGAGGAAGGGAAGTGGCTGATGAAACAAAAAAAGAGACGGGAAGGGGCACGAACGAGAGAGAGAAAGACAGACAGAAAAAAAGAGGAAGAAACAGGAGTTGGCCGCAACGGGCAGGCAAAGGGAGAGCCTCTGTAATCCGCGCCATTAGCTGGATTGTGATTGAGGGATAATACATTTATTATTATGACGAAGATTATTTAGATTGAGGGTGCTCTACTGCTCTGGGCAGCCCAGCAGAGGGGGAAGAGGGGGGGGGAGGAGGTCACGTGGCGTGAGGGTCAGGAAGCCTGGAGGGATGATTTTAATAGACTCTGACTCAGGCTCAGCGACACCAGATGCGCCACGCACCCACCATGAACTCTGCCGCGTCGCGCTTCTCGTGTGTGTGTGTGTGTGTGTGTGTGTGTGCGCGCGCGCGTGTCTGTGTGTGTGCGCGCGCTCGAGCGTGCAACCCAGTGCAACCTCACGCCCGCCTATACTTCGAATGCACTCCCAGCTGAAGGTTTGTCTAAAGACCGAAACTGGAGGGCAGCGAGTTCAGTTTTTCTCTTCTGGTGCTTCTTGACCTTGATCCCTTGACACGCCGGGCGGCGTCGTGAGTGTAACTGGTTCCTAGAAGCCGAAGGCACTGTAATCGGTTTTGTCGTGTTCCACGGTAGACTCGTATGTATTCTGTTGCTTTTTTTTCTGTAAGAGTAAATGTCCTAGGGTATGAGAGGTGCAGGGAGGATGGGTGTGTGTGTGTAACAGTTGCTCGCCGCGCTGCGTCCCGCCCCGCCCCGCCCCGCCCCGGCGTGACACGAGTCGGTGGCCAGCAGGGGTTGGACGCGATAGCGACAGAGAGATAACCACATTGCGTGGAAACGGGCAGGGGAAGGGGGCGGGGTTGCAACATGAGGGTACCGGGAGAGGGGCGCGCCGGTCCGTTAGATGGGTATTAAAGTAGTACTCATCACAGAACACGCTAAAAAATACATTCTTATTATTTAAAAATTGACGATTGTACCGAACAAAACCAAACCAAAGCTCACAAGAAAAATTGAAGTGCAGATTTTTTTTAGTTTGGCAAATTTTGGCAATTTTTTTTTCTTTTTCATACGAGTACCGAGGACTCCACTCGGTCACACACAGGCAGTGATAATGATCGTAATAACTCGTCCGGGCGGTAATGGTCGCGACGAGCCGAACGACTTCGGGTGTCGCGCCGAAGGCCGAAGGGGAGCCGAAGGGGAGCCGAAGGGGAGCCGAAGGGGAGCCGAAGGGAGAGCCGAAGGGGAGGCAGCGTATGTCTCCCCGCCACCAGCCGTGTGTACTTACTGGCCAAGTGATAATCTGCCCCGTCCTAAACTGGGGGGAGGGGATGACGTTTGGCTGCTGCGGCGACCTCCCGCGCGTCTTCGAGGGTTATTGCCCATGGGGGAGAGGTTCGGGCGAGGGGGGAGGAGGGGAGGGGGGGGGGGGAGGCGCGCGGGGTGCCGCGGAGTAGCGGGGTCCGTCTCTTTGCACGATTGAAATGTTTCTATTATTCAGGCTGCGACTCCTCATCGCCCGTCTCTTGTAAACCTTGCCCCGCCCCGCCCCGCCCCGCCCCGCCCGCTTGCTGCTGATGCTCACTTTCGGCGTGTGCCCCGCGAGTGATTTCACCGCCTTCTCTCTCGTCTGGCGGGCGTGCCGCGTCGCCGCGTGATTCCAAAGCCCGAGAGAGGCATAGCAGCACGAGGCGCAAGACGAGTAAAAATCAAAATATTCCTCGGGTTTCCTTGAGGTTTTTACTTTTTTTGCCGGTGTAGCCAGTGTTCATTGGGCCAGGCTGCTGCCCGGCTCGGCCCGGCTCGGCTCGGCCCCCAGCGGCGCAGGCATCAGCACCGGCGCGGAATTAGCACTAGCACCACTACACCGGAAGGGTGGCCGAGGGAGGCGGCAGTACGCTTGCTGCTCTCGGAGACTTTGTTATTTTATATCAGCCGGGCGACGACTTTATTCCACGAGGGAGAGAGAGAGAGAGAGAGAGAGAGAGAGAGAGAGAGAGAGAGAGAGAGAGAGAGAGAGAGAGAGAGAGAGGAGGAGGAGGAGGACTCAATAGAGGATAACAATGAGTGCGCAACCTGCTGTGCGCCCTCTGCGGCGGCGAGGGGGAGGGGGAGGGCCGGCAGGGCGGAGGGAAGGCCCAAAAGTGGGCGGTGGCAATGTCGAGTGTTTGTGCACTTGCGCCGGCAAACGCGCCACTGCAAAACAAAAGCAGAAAATGGCTTCCGATTTTTTTTCTTTTAGTTTTTTGTGTGTGCCTCTCAGCTTGCTTGCGCAAGGTGCGGCGGCGAACACACTGCTGTACTCGAACCAGTGCAAGGCAGCAGCTGCGGCCTCTGTGCCGGGGTGGCGAGCCGGGAGAGAGAGAGAGAGGGGGGGGGGAAGAGAAACTAAAAAAGAAAAGCGGGCGCGGGAAAAAAAAGCGCAGCACTGAGCTTGCCGTGTCGAGCCGAGCAGCAGGGTGTAATCTAATCAATCCCGCGGCAATCGGTTCAAGTGGAAGAAGCATCGAAGGGGAAGGGGTGGGGGCTACCCAATGGGGCTACCCAACCCGAGAGCGCCGTCGCGGCGAGTGTGTGTGTGTGTGCGCGCGCGCGTGTGTGCGTGTGTTGTTGAATCTGTTGCCACTTGCGCCATGCCACGCCCCGCGAGCACCGCCGTGTGTGCCGCCACGCCCCCGCGAACCATGAGTGTGAGAGAGAGTGCGTGTGTGTGTGTGTGTGCGTGTGTGTGTGCAAGGCTGAGTGTCGGCCCCTCTGCGTTATTGTTCCAAGCCGTTCCGCGCGTGTCCACAAAACAGCACACACGCGATTTGTTTGGATTTGGCTTTCTGGCTGGCTGGCTGCGCGGCCTGGGTGCTGGTGCAGGCAAAGTGTGTGTGTGCGTGTGTGTGGTGTGTGTGTGTGTGTGTGTGTGTGTGTGTGTGTGTGTGTGTGTGTCGCAGCCAGATGCCCTGCCGCTGCGGCAAAGCGCCCCCACGGCCACCCTCACGCACACAGACACACACAACTTCTCTCTGGTGGACTCCGCGGCGCGGTCTGCGTGTGTCTCTGGCTGGCGGCCTCGCGTTCAGAACAGTGCTCGTCTCTCTCGCACTCACGGGGCCGCCCGTAGGGGTGCGAGAGAGACAAAAAGCGCTTTTTCGGAATCGCTGGCTGCAAGCGGCTGGATTAGGCCAGGGCGCACACACCGCGCGCCGTTATGAATCTCTAATAACGCAAAAGGGCCCCACGCACACACACGCACGCGCACGGGCTGAGTGTGCCTTGTGGTTTCCGTTTCGCTCTCTTTGAATAAAACAATCAAGCCGGTGTGGCACGGCGGGAATAATGGAGGAGCCCGAGCGGGAAATATAAAATCCAGCATTTGTCTCTGGGCCAAGGATGGGCGTCGCTGGCACTGGCTGGCGGGGGCGGTGGGGCGGCCAGGCACTGCTTGTCCGAATCGTGCTACGCTGGCCGAGAGTACCACCACTGTGGCGAAGACTAGGCCATGGCACAACAAAAGAAAGAAAAAATTGTCGAGCAGTTCTCCAAAAATTCGAATTTTTGAATCAAAAATTTTTGCAGTTTTTAAAAATAAATATACATTAAGATAAAAAGGAATAAGAAAAGGCAAGATTATGTGTCTGGCAGCTCGCGCGTGAAAACATGGAAAACGTA